CAAAAGCTTAAATATTCTGACCGACAGCAAGAAGGTTTCACAAAGAGCTATTGGCTAGAACGTTGGTGTGTAGTGTGTCCTTAAAAGAAGAAACTGGATACATGGAGAACAAAAGAAGCAAAAGTCCTTAAAAAGAAAACAAATCAGGAAAAAATGCATAAACAGCTGACATGGGGTGTGAGATATTCATCTGGACTCTGGGAACTTGAGAAAAAAATTGAATTTTTCAGTTTTGAGAATACAGACAAACCTGATTTTAGAGGGTTTCCTCTTAAATCCCTCGAGGCAGAAAAAAAAAATCAGAAATGACATCAGACAGAGACAGCGTCTGTATTTCACTGTAACATCAGCTGGTAAAATAATAACATTATATTTAATGATAATGAGAGCAGATATTTCACTTTAAACACTTTCAGAGACGTTTGACATAAAAACAGAGTTACAGATAAAATACTTACTGTTGCTGTCTGCTCTTCTTTCCACTCACAAACCACACACACCAACATCCATGGACAGATTTCACTCACTGAGCTGGAGAGAAGAGTGCTGTTAGGTTATATAAGACACACCTAACACTCACCTTCCCAGGTGTTGTTTCGCTATGACCCTGCTGAGGGAGCGCTTTCGCTGTGTGCTGAATTTAAAAATAAAACTGAGTGTGGAAAATCTTCAGTGCAGTCACTTTTGTGCTTTACATGCTGCATCCTCTAGTTCCACATTTTTGAAAGATGTCATTTTTAAAGTTTGCGTGATGGTGCATAAAAAACACAGTTGCAGCTGATTTGATTTTGGTGGCAATCGGGACAAAATTAGAACAAATGTTGTCGTCAGTGCTGGAGAAGTAAAGGCACAAAGCAGAAAGATGTCCTGGGTATCTTCATAGTACAGATCCCAGGAACACGTGGTGAGACAGGATGGGCCAAGTCAAGGTTTAGTGTCTAAATATGGGTAAAGTGAGGTGGATGGTCTGTAAGACAGTCTGCAGCTCATCAGTGTTGTTTGGGTCTTTAACTTTATTGTTCATCTTTCATAATCAGTAAAAACAGTCTGACATATAGATCAAACTGTCAGTATGACCAAAAGCAGCAGGTCTATAAATGTTAAACTGGACTGTTAGCTTGTTGCTGTGTGGGTGTTAATCATTAAATGATGATTATTTCACTGACTACACAAAACTACACGAACTACCAGCTTCAACTGATGATTGAAACAAAAAGTTTATTAAGTGTATCCTGGCATTTTAATTTTTACTTTTAAATACTTTTTGTTATTTGTTATTTTTTATAGTTTTTTTGTGTCCTCTGTAAATGTGATTCTGGAGTTTTGTATTTTAGGTCATCTGTTGTTGTGGTTCTTTGTAAAGATGTTCTCAGTTAGTTCTTGGTTTACTGGTTGTGGTGTTGTTTTACATCCTCGCTTTGTTAGCTCAGTGTGCTCTTTCATGTGTTCTTTGTTGTGTTATACTGTTTACCTGCCTGTATGCTTGGCTTCCTTGACTTCCTGGATTTGTGTTAATTTTATAATTTGCACTCTGATTTAGATTTATATCAGCCAATGAAATGGCTCGTGCTTTCTTTGTGAACTCTGCAGCTTTGCATTTGGCTCCTAACCTGCTCCCTCCACAGTATGACAGTTTTATAACTGCAGTGTAACAGACCAAAACAGACTGAGAGCCTCGCTGCTTTTAAATGCTTTAAACAGACAAAAGTGTCAAAAAGGTTGTGCACAAATAAAGAACAGAAGTGGACACAATGATACAGTAAAATATAAAATGCTTATTCCTGCCGCCTCCTCTTGTTTCAGCTGGTAAATGTTTATTCTTTTCAAACATTCGCTGCATCCTTGTTGTCCATGACTCTGTCCTGCCGCTGATGGAAACACCACTCTGTGGTTTCAAGTTTAAATGTTGTAAGCGATCAGGTAACCAGCACAACAAAGTCCAGTGTTCCCACTTTCACTTTGTTCAGATTTCCCTGCTCTGACTTGGCCTCAGGATGTCTAGGGAAAAGAATCATTTTGCATCAGCGGCCAGTCCTAGTGGATTTCCCCAAAGGAACAGTTTCATAGGACTGAGATGATTTTATGTCTCAGTACTTTGATGTTATGTTGGTAAGATTATTTAGCACTAATTACCTCCAGCTATATTAGGACTTAAGTTAAACGACGTTTCTATTGTTTTTACTATTAGCAAACTTTGTGATGCGCTATGAAGCAAATTGTTGGTTGACAGTGACCCCTTGTGGACATTTTGAGATATTATTCGTGTCAAGTAAATAATGTTATTACGATTGTTTTTCTAGTTATCTATGACCATAATCATAGTCACACGTATACCGTAAAGCAATAAGTTCATGTACCGTTCCTGGACTGCTGCCATCTTTCTGACAGAAGACTTTGTCCAGACCTGTAACCCCAACATCCCAAATTATCTTCTTTAACTTCTCTTTTGTTATTGTCGTGTTTGCGTTTTCTGCACAGACAAATGTTTGCAGCCACAGCAGCTAAACTGTTTCTGATCACCTGAGAAACAAAAAATAGATTTCATGTATAAATCAGATTGTTTTTATTGATTATGACTTGAAAAAGGAAATTTGCAAAAATTCGATAACAGCCTTGATGAGCTGTAGTTTAGTTTGTACCAGTGCCAGAGTCTCCATCAGTCATTCAGTTTTAGAGGGTACATTTGGATCGATTCAAACTATTAAAGGTTTTATTGGATCTAGAAGCTGTTTAAAGAGCAGAATTTGTGTTTAACTAAACTTT